AGCAAGATGGTAATGATAGAACAAGGGAAATGTCATCTTGTTGCCTTATAAAGATGTAGAACTGAAGGTCTGTCTGCAAAAGTTTATTTAAATAAACCTCTTGACATAAATAGCTATTAATATCAGGAGACTAGCATCGTTGCAAAACAGCTCTAACTGGAATAAAAATAAATTCTTCTCAGTAATTTTATCTACTTCTCTCTGAATGGCATCCCAACTCTAATCTCCGTGTATCTTACAAATATTCAGACTTTTTTCGTTGGATAGGGACAGTACTGCTGGCTTCAATTCCAAAACAGCATGACTGATAGAAGGAAAAAAAACACCTGAAGGCTAATCTGTGACAGAACTGAGAATAGAAACTAGACCACTTTGTTTCCAGCCTCTTTAGCTAATGCAATAGGAATCTCAGAACTAAAATTTCATATGAACTCATAGCCTGCTAGATGTAAGTCATATAAACAGAACCAAATAATGCTATTATTTTCTTTTGTGATTTATCTCAGAAGGAAATAAAGTTCTTGTATTACCAGGGTGTGATTCTAAAAACTTCAGATGATCACTTTCATCAGTTTGCAGAAAACAATATTGTAAGTTTTCTGCTTTGTCTGTGCCTAATCTTCCAGCACTTAAACTGCATTTCCAAGAGCATGTATCTGTGAGGCCTGATGTGAATTGCATTGGTGTCAATCCAACGGCTTTTTAATGTTCAAGATGAGTATCCCTCACTGAGAACTCATCTCAAGTTTTACTGAAATATTTTCCACAAAGTTCCCACATGAAGATACAGGGACTGTAGATCCACTTGACGTTACAAAGGCTTTTCAGAACTACTCTGAATATATTAAAATAAAAAGGGAGAAAAAGGAAGTAATTGTGGATAAACTCTACAGAACCAAAATATGAGTTTCAAATGTATTTATTTTTTTTCCAAAAGATACATCAAACTCATGTAGTTATGACTGTTGGCCCAAAAATTTAATTAAGTATACAAGAACTTAGAGATGACATGTAATGCTCATAATTTTTAAAAACATGTAGCAGCTGGAATAAATGATAGTAAAAGAAGGTGTTAGACCTTCCCAAGTGTTGATGATGGTAAAGGCAAGAACTTGAGCACAACTGGCAGACCTGAAGCCCAGGATCATCAGGACAAAGATAGTGGAGATGTTGACTGAAGAGAAGAAAATATTCTTGCTAGATGCCTGGGTGGCCACTTACCTGCAAAATCTGAAGGCAAAGTTCACGTTGCTGGAAACAACAGTAGGGTCCTGTTGACAGGACCCCAAAGGATGTCCCTTATGTTAATGCTTCTCCTGAGGTGTGTAGTTTTCTTGTTCTGCTTGTGGCACGGGACTGATGAGAGCCAGGAATAACAGTCTCAAGAGCAACAAAGGAACATTGCTTGCAGTCATATGTCAAGAAGATATAAAAACAAATTCAAGGCTTCTTGAAGTACATCAATTTTGTGTGTCTGCCACACCAGAATCAACTCATTCCTTTGGCCTTTTGAGAACTCCTCTGGTTATTACTTGATCAGATTATATCAACGTTTGTCTTTCTCAGCAGTCAGTGAAACCATTTCTAAAAACAATTAGCAATCAAAATCTATGAGTTTCCCTTTTAGCCCAACACTATGAGAGTAAAGTGACCATGGGGGATCTGAACACATATCTCTGATTCAGTGCTAGCTTGGCTTTTGTATTACTGCAGTCATGGTCTGCTTTATTTAATATCACTGTGAGATTTGAGGAATGGGGAGCTGTGCACCTCATCCCCTTCATCTCTGCATGGCTGCTAGAAGGAGAGCTGAATGCAATTAACCTTGGATGTTGAGCCTTTCTCAACAGTGATCCATCTGCCAAGGGAAACTCTCCAATGGCCTTTTCCTGACAGCTTAATCCAGTTTGCAGAATCAGGGCAGCAACCAGAAAAGAGCTTGCACAAGAGTCAAAAACCGTCAGGTCTCTAAACCCTTTTTTTCAGAAAGATTGAAATACAGACCTTCTGGTTAATAAAAAAATCTTTTTATTTTAAGATTTTATTTATTTATTTATTTGTTTATTTATTTATTTGGTGGGAAGGGGGCAAACAGTGGCTATGCATATATGCATATTTTACACTATATCTAAGTTCATAGAATAGAATTCAATTTACAAACTTTCCACTTCATGAAAGTTTTTGCATGCTCATATGTGAGGTATTTCAGTTGTTTGCATCATCAGATTATTTCTGTGTTATCTGAGGACCAGGACAAATCCTTGATGAAGAGAAGCCTTTTGAAAATGTCCATTTACTTATTGTGACAGCAGACACAAAGCACCAGTCAGAAGAACCTGTCAAAACACATCCTTAGCAAATGCATGGGAGTCTCACAGTTTGCAGCTTGCTTTGTTTTTGAAGTGTTTCCTGAACTGCTTTAGTTTGGTCCACAGAGTGGGAAGGATCTCTAGTTCTCTTGTAGTTTGGGAAGTAGCTGGTGAAGGCCTTCCAGCATGACTAAGCAGCATTCAGAAAACCTGTGCTAGAGCTTATAGGGCTGAATGACAAAGGGAGTTTCCCACTCCTGTTGATTATTCTGTCTCCATTTGTACTTTTATACCAGACAGCACAAGAGCACAGACCTTAAGCCTGCAATTACTCATTCTTGCATTTTTAGTACTGTTCCTGATACAGGTATTGTGCATGCCAATCCTTCCAGACAAGTTTTATGCACGTTTTCAGGGTTAACCCAAGCCAGGAGCCATTTCCAATAGGCAGCCCTGCTGTCTTGCAGGGTCAGAGTTAAGCAACATCAAAATGGGCTGTGATGAGACAGCTGAGCTCAGAACCAGTGAATAGACCATGGAGCACTTTGTTATCAAGCATAGATGTAAACTCTGGAAATAGAATTAATCTCAGTGCTTGTTTTACCACTTCCAGGTAATCATATCTTTCTGAACCATTATTTCTTGATGAAGCACAAGATTTAATTTATATTTAATCTATAATCTTGCAACACAAGCACTTTTTGGGTGTTGGGACAACTGAAATATCCCCTAGGTATGTTTTAGCCACTGCTTCCACATTAAGATGCCTGTTAAAGGTCTTTTATCTTAAAGGGGAACTTGAAGAAGACAACACAAAGTAGACAGCAGTGGACATTCATGCCATCAGCTATGAATGCTGTAAAGGAAGGATGGTATGGGAAAGGACTTCTCCTTCCAAGGTCTGAAAGTGATTAATCCCCTCCACAATTTTAAGTTACATCTCGCTTACCTTATGAGCCCTTCCAATGTCACAAAATATCATTGCTTCATCCATCACTCACTCACCAGTGTGGTTTGCAGAGTTCCTTAGGATTTATTTGCCAAATCCAACTCCAAACCATCCTCCACCCAGGGAGGAGTAAACATGGATTTCAATCTACCAGGAAAATATCTTTTCCAGCACTCCATGTCTAATGCTAAATAGACCTGGAGGTCTAGCAGTCTTGCAGGTCCAGCCTGACCAGGATGTTGGAAGTACATGATTGTCTGCCTTCAGGAAAGGGAGGGATGTGGACATGAGTATTCCTGAATATCCAGTATCTAAGGAAAATACTCTTAACTGCAAAGGCTTGGCACTGGGGTGTATGATGGGGGGGGGGGGCGGGAGGATTGGAAGATACTGTTGTTTTAGGAAGGTTGGTCTCTACAAAAAGAGATTTGTTCTAATGCTACTAACTACAATTATCAAATTGACCTCATGACCTATTGACTAAAAATTCTTAATTGTCCAGCCCCATATATTTAAAGAAAATGAATGAGATACAACACACTGAAAAGGGCTGTTCTGCACTTGACCAACATTAAATACATTTATCCTTCTTAAATAGTTGCTGTTGAACCCAAGGGATGGAACAGTAAATCAGGTTGATACCACACAAGACCAGCTGTATTTGTTAGCAGATCTCTTTTCTTGGTGCTGTAGACCCTCACAAGTGCCAAGTCTTGACTCTGGATTTTGACACTACCTTGGATCAATAAGGCCACATCAAGAGATGTCAAACTGGCACAGACATCCTCAGAAGGCTGAACAATCATTTTCTCACACAAATAAATTATTTTTTTTCATTACTAGCCTGTAAATAGAAATGATTGTCCCCACTACTCTGTAATGGTGCAGCCTCAGCTCAAGTACCATGTGCAGTTTTGGATGCCATACTATAAGGGCATAAAAGTATTAAAGAGCATCTGAAGGATGGATGCAAAGATGGTGAAGGGTCTAGAGAGAAAGATATGAGAAGAATATGAGAAACAGCTAAGGCCCCTTGGTTTGTTCAGTCTGGAGCAGAGCAGGCTGAGGGGAGGCCTCGTGGGGGCCTGCAGCTCCCTCATGAGGGGAGCAGAGGGACAGGCACTAAGCTCTGCTCTCTGGGGACAGCGACAGGACCCAAGGGGATGGCATGGAGCTGGGACAGGGGAGGGTGAGGCTGTGTGCTAGGAAAAGGTTCTGCACTGAGAGGGTGGTGGTAGAACAGGCTGCCCAGGGAAGCGGTCACAGCACCAAGCCTGCCAGAAGTCAAGAAGTGGTTGGACAGTGCACTCCAATATGTTTTAATTTTTGGATGATCCAATGAGAAGTCAGGAGTTTGACCCAATGATTCTTGTGGGTCTCTTCCAACTCTTGATATTCTATTATTCTATTCTAATGGTTTTCTATAAAAGACATCCACACGGAAGAGAAAGCCTAAGACATCCCTGGGTGGACTGCATTTAAATGTTAATTTCTCACATCATCTCTCCAAGACCACATAAGAGTTGGAGGCAGCTGGAGAAAACATTAACATTTTCCTTGCTTCCCACTCACTACTCAGGAGCAGCCTGTTTGTTCATTCATTATTTACTAAAAAGGATTTAAACTGTTTCTCTTATTTTTCAAAGATAACATATAGTGTCCATTAGAAGACTAGTATATACACTTTTTCATAATTCACTAATAAGTATATCTTGGTAATTATTTTCTACTGGAAAAGGGAGTAAGAACAACAATTTTAATATTGACTGTATTCTTGCCTCAATCGTTTTTTTGGAAAAAAACAATGTTCGTAACAGCTTTGATATGGTTTTAATTGCAGACTATAAGTGCATCAAGAATGCAGTTAAATCAAAAAGACATGCTATGGACCACTCATTTTTCATTAGGGTTCACAATTTTTCCCATGAAGAGGATGCTTTGAGTATATTGATCAACAATCAACAACAAAAATGGACGATTGAATTTTACAACAGGAGGAACAGAATGAGGAGCAAAGTCTGTGCCAGTGACTGCTGCAGCCTCTGTGCCATTTTCATGAATATTCAGCAGTGACTTGTGCATAGCCTACAATAAAACACAGCAAGAATTAGCATACATACAGGACAGGTGTGGAATGACTAAAATTAGCACTAAGTTAATTGAGCTATTGCCTTTCACAGAATTGCTGATAGGTCATGAACAACACAACTGCATCCCATAGAAGTTGTTCAGCAACGTTGTCTTAATGAGCAAGTATTTTCCCATTCAGTATTCCTCACCACAGTTTCTATTGCAGTAGAAAAATCAATCTTCATATCAAATTGTTGGTACTAAGCTTTGTTTCTCTAACCCCATAATACTATGTTGTTAACAATTTAACAGCCATTATGAAAGCAATAATTACATCTCTTCACATTATCTTTTCCTCCCAGGAAGTGGGATGCTTTCCTCAAATCTGGTCCATCTTATGTGATTAGCACTTGTCATTGTCTTCTATGGAAAAGGTTTTAAAATCCTTTAAATTAGAGAATGCACACATTATAAATAAGGGCTATTTTTCCTGCTAAGTACATTCATGCAAAGCACCCCCAACAGGTATCCATGGAGGCTCCTTTCACATGAAGAAGCTAGGCTGTATTTTGTTCCTGGGACAAGTGATATACCCCTTCCAAGCTTGGCCACGAGTCTCAGCTTGTCAGAAGGAAGACAGTACTCTTATCTCCAGATCTTGTACAAATCTCAGAGAACTTACTGTACTAGCTAAAGTGTTCTAGTTCACAAAATGCCAACCACTTCCAGTGATAAGAAACATTTCACAACATGACTTAAAGATAAATGGTTATCAAGGAATCCACAGACCATCATTTCTGTTGATAGACTTACTCTTGAAATCTTCAGATCAGGCTTTCCTGTTATTCCAGACAGATCAGCCCAGTCAGAAAACACATCTGTTACACCCAGATTCATGAACATTTTCTTTAAGTCATAGGTACCAGAAATAGATAGCTTTGGAATATACACTTCTACCCTCCTGTTAATTTAAAAGAAAATTATGGTAGTTATTGCAACCAAAGTATATCTTGAACTCTCCCAACTTGTTGGTTATTCTTTTGTGCTAAGAAGCCAGTCTTCAGATTTATACAAGATAGCAAGACAATGGTCTGGAGGATAGGAAGATGTGGTAGGAGAAAGATGGGATTTTTAATCCCACAACCACCACTTGAATGGACAACAAGCAGCAGTGGTGCCAGCATGTTAGTGGATGCATTTGCATTAGTTTTCTAGCCCTGAAGGTTTTTCTTTTGTAAATCACACCCCATTTCCTGAGGGATCTTATTGCTATGTTATATTGCTATGTTACTGATATTAACACATTGGATTTGAGAGAAAAGAAGTGGAGAAACTTAAGATTAACTAAAAATGCATGAGAAGAAAGTGAATTTCCCAGGTCACAGAGCTCTTCCCTCATCAAAAGGCTATGCTGATTCCAATTGTTGCTAAGCGTATCAAATAAAAGTCATTTGATCTGTTCCTTTATATCTGTCCCATACATAATTCTTCAATGAGCACCTGAATTAATAACTGTAAAACTTGATTATAGTATTTAGACTTCGGATTCTGACTACTGTGAAGCATCAAATTAGAATTTACCGTCTTTCAAGTAATTTTTCCCATTTAGACACAGTTTCTTTTGTCAAGGCGTTCTCCAACCATTTCATTTTTCCTTCATTAGGCAGGACAAACAACGCTGCAACATCTCCCTTGTAAGGAATCTGCACCACCTTGCAAGACAGCATCTTGTCAGAATACATTTTATAAAAGCTATCTCGAGTCATCATCTTCACTTCAACTGAGGTCTTTGCATTCACATAGAAATAATCCTTGCGAGTCCCCTTCACATTGAAAGGATTTTCCCAGTAGGCTTAAAACCAAGAGAGAAAAAAACAAACATGTAATTGTATTCTAAGTAGGATATATTAGTATAGTCCAGACTAATTTACAACAGATAAATCCATATATGAAGATTTACACTCATACTCAAAGATCAGAGGCATTCAAAATTCATTCAAGATCTTTGCCGTAATGTGTTCAATGGTCAAATATCCCAGATTAAAGTTCACATGGACTCATACAATACCTTTTCTAAGTCAAATAAATTAAATACAGTAACTTCATCATAAACTTTTATTTGAGAAAATTGATGGTTGACAAGAAACTAATGAGTTTCTTTACAATAATTTTGCTTATAAAGCAAGTTCCACAGCAGATGACTACCTTTTTCCTTTTTAAAAGGTAGTACATTGATCTCCTTCCATGCTTTTTCATCTGTTCTTCATCTTGTAGCACAAAGGAAAAGCTTATATGCAAGAACCTGAACTTTTGGGCCATATCATAATATGTTGATTGTTTACTGTAGTGGAGTTATGATCAACTAAGTGAGTTTCCAGGGCTTTAACCTCCAATGCAGGGATCACATTTTTTTTTTTTTTTAAAGTACTGAATAGAACTAAAATTGAAAAATAAGTAATAAAATGTAAACATTGTTGTACTCTGGTTATTTTCTAAGTTTGATCTTTTGTCTGTCCCATCATAAAGAAAAACCTCAGGCTAGTGCACTTGAGACTAGGGTACCTAGATTTAACAGAGTACATGAAGTAAAATCTATTTTACTGAATGCTCTTCTATTTTCTAACATTGCCTTCTGGGTGGTAAATTCAATTTATGTCCTGCATGCTGCTATAAATTGACCTAATGTTTAAGAGTAATTTAATCATTGACAAATCAGTACATTCTCAAGTACCTCTTGGTGTATGTATGTGTATCTATCTATAAATAAAATGGGATGACAAGCTGTCATTTAGAGCCCAGCTCCATAGGTATGTACACATCAAACAGATATGGACTGTAAATTAAAGTGTTTGGCAATTTTTGATAACTTCCTCGGATTTTATTTTTCTACTTCATACAGCATGTAAAAAAAAATAGCAGAATAATTTTTGAAATAAGTAGAAAGTCTAGGAAGTCTGGTAGAAAAAATTAATATAATAAATCTCTTTATTATAAATCATAATAAATCTGAATAAATAATAAATCTAAATAAAACTGCATAAATCTCTTGCAGTCTGACAATTCCATAAAACTTGAAAATTGCAGAGTGAACTTTTGTGTCTGCAAGCTTAGAAAAAAATTAGATTTAGAAAGTTTCAACGAATGAGAACTTTCAATGTTTCTTATAATAGCCTAGTCTTAACACTGCCCTTTCTTTTAAGAATAATTCATAATTAATCTGGGATATTTGGTTCAGTCCAGGCCAAACTGAAGTATTGCAGTAACATCTGTATAACTTACCTTTGAAATAAATATAATTAACAAGTACCATTAGAGAGTTTGGATCAAGGTCTGTAAACATTTGATTTATCTTCCCATGAGTTTGGTTCTTTATGTGATCATTGATCACTTTCTTAGCTTCAGTTGAATTCTGGAAGTTACTAGAAATAATTTTTCCCCTGTATGTTTTTTGGATATCCTTCAGAAATGTTTTCAGCGGCTTCAAGTGTTCATCTATGAACAGGGTGTTCCCCATGCTCAGCTGCACCTGACTGCCAGGACGGTTCAGCAAGGAGAGGAGATGACGAAAGCCATCATGTATCTCCTCCTCCCGGGTGCTGGTGAGATTAAAGGCCAGCCCCTCCAGCACCTGAACCCGGCTTGCAGCTCTAGAGCCCAGGGCCAGCAGGGCAAAGGCAGCAGACACACTGACTGGGGAGAAGAAAATGTTCTTGCCAGGTGCCTGGGCAGACGCTTGCCTGTAAAACCTGAAGGCAAAGTCCGTGTTGCTGGGGACTATCCGTTGGCAGAACCCAAGAGGATCTCCCTCATGGGAATGCCGCTCCTGGAGGTGAGTTGCCTGGGGCTCATCATCACGGTGGTCAGGCTGGATCATGCTGTGAACAGCAGGGTAAAGCACAGCCACCAGAAAGGATACCGTGAGGGTGGCCTTCATCATCCTTTGCAGTTACTGAGGAGACAAAGAGAAATGGTTTCAGATCCTGTAGAACAGTCAGTCAACATCTCATCTTTTATTTCTCTCTGCTACTACCTTCAACAGCTATTTGTTAATTAGCGTTAATCTCCTGATCTTCGCCTTTTCTATGGCAGTGTTTTGAGATGCTGCTGCTTCTGATCGTAGATTATAATTCCTATCCAGTACTGCCCACTTCAGTTCTGCTTTCCTCCAGCTGCAGGAGTCCTTTGTTACTGGAAGCTTGTGGAGAGAAAAGCACAGGAGTATTAAAGAAAAATCAGAGGAAGAGAAATTAAAAGGATGGTTGTTTTTTCATCTCCATTTTATGGTGAGGTAACATATTGGGAGCTACTCTTACTTCTATGTTTACCTCAAAGAATTGAGGATTATCATATTAGTGCCTGAATGATATTTATGTCAAATCAGCAAGCTATGTCAATGGAAAAAAAATACAAGACTGCAACAGCCAAAAGTCATGTGTCATCTCCCCTTCACCCCCAATCCTGCCTCATTTTAACATAAAAAGTGAGTAATTACAAGGGAGCAAGTAACGTTTTTCTGCTTCAATACCTGGTTAGATCAGAACATGTTGCTTTATTTTAGTATTTTAAACCACCACTCCACAGACACATGCCTTTCAGATGGCTTTCCCTGTTTGTACAGTCCCAGCACAGCCAGAGGGTGAGGCCACTGCACTGGGATTGGCCCCTCCTGTCTCTCCAAACATTGTATAGCAGGGAAGCATGTTTCCATAAGGCACATAATACCTCAGCTAGAGTCATTCAGGAAAGAGTCTGGGTTGTGGTATCTTTGTTATTTCTGACAACTGTAGTAATTTTTTGTTTGCTGATGACTTCTATTCTTACCTATTAGACTAAGAACCTGCAAGTATGCTTTGTAGTATCCTTCATAGTGTCTAGAAAGTTGACTTTATCAAATAAGAGACGAGAGCTATTCCAGTTAAAATTTGTACTAAAGACTAGAAAAACAACTCCAAACAGACTTCACCCAGTATCTTACTTAAAGTGGAATAGCTTTTGGGAAGAAGAGTGCATGAGTTACATGATCACCTTACAACTGGTGGCTAAAGCACCCAGAAACACAGGCTCAGTAAAAGCAGGAAGGATTTTCCTTCGGATTTCAACCAACCTGCATCAGCATTCTGTCCACTCAGATTTGGGTGAAAAAGACACAGCTTGTCCTTCTTCAGATTTACTGTGAGATCTGAGTAAATCAGGACTTATGGGGAGCTTGGCATAGCAAAATTAGCTTTATGAATCCTGTCTGGACCACACTGGTGTAAATAAGACGCCTCATGCCCACCAGAGTTTTGGTTCATTGTAAGCTTTAGGGAGTCTCACTAAGGATAACAATCTAGACTGACAGTTGGGAAGTAAGAATATTTTCTCTCTTGTTAATGAAGCAGGTTTATTCTAGATATGAAAGAACTATTTTGGATAAATATTCAGAACAGAGTTGTACTTGTGGAACTGCTATAATATACCCCTACAAGTTGCTATTCAATATTTCTTGAAATTAAATTCTGCTGTTATTTGAGTGCTTAGAAACCAGGTCTCACCCTTGAAAGCAGATGTGCTTCATGATTCACTAGCTAAATGCCATATAGCTGCACCAAAATATTTAAGGTAAAGATATCTGGGTACTTACATTGCATTCAGAAGGGTTCTGCACTCATACAGGTTGTGTTGTTCCTGGCTGCTTTACTCACACTGCTGTTTTCCTCTGTTAAACATTACATGGGCTCAAATATAGATTATCTAGAAGGACAAAGCTAAATGCTGATGAAGCTAATTTTCTTGGCTATCATATTCATGTGTCCACATCTCTACTCCAAACAGAGCGAAGACCAGCAGTCCAAGCCAGTCAGTAAAGTGGAATGTTATGTCCCAAACAGTACGCAACACCTACACAAATATTAATTAAAATGAGATTTGGTGCCAAAGGCAGCTGCTTTTTTCTATGCAGTACCTGAGACAGAGATTACCCTTGATCCGAAGATGTGAATTCTGCCCAGCACTAAGCTCTGACAGCCAGAGGCAGGGCAAGGAAGCTTTGGGGAACACCTCTTGTTATCAGCCATGCTACCCAGCCTACTGGACTCTGCTTAAGGTAACTTCTTTGAGTATCTGATCATATATACATCCTCCTGGAGCCACTGACAGTTATCATGGGACTCTCACTTGAGGGCATTGCCCTTGTTTTCCCACCCTGTTACACATCCAAACCTTGATGTCAGCTGCTTAAGTTACAAGAAACATTCTGGTAGAATTAGGATATTTTCCTTTATGTTATTTCCTTACTAGATTATCTTTTTTTGTTGTTGTATTAGAATGTTGTAGTCATATATTATTCCAATGGCAACCTACTTTCATAGTGGCATAATCATCTTGTGTTTCCTACTAAGTACTGCCTAGACTCAATTTAATCCAGTACAAAAAGAGACAGATCTAGGGGATGTAAAGACCCTACTACTGTTATAAATCTCCTCTTTGTTAAATACCTAGTCTCACCAGAAACTCATCTCTTAAGAAAAATACAGAAATTACATAGCTCTTTACAGGCCAAATTTTTCAGGTAATAAGTTCTAATAATTTCCAAAGCTAAACTTCATTTTCAGCATTTCTTTCTCTCAGCAGAACAGTTTTAAATGTTTCTGTAGATCTTACCAATCCCAATATTTTTTAAGTGCACGTACTGTGACCAAACAAACATAATACATTATACAAGCGCAAACCCATTGTCCTCTGCTTGCAAGAACTAATAGAATTGGACTGAGTAGATAAACAATCCAATATTCAGAGCACTGACTTTAAAGTGCACCAGTACCCAACAACACATTCCTAATGAGAAAGAACAGGGGCAAGTTACAATGATAGTGAGTATCGTATAGTTTAGTATTCCTTATCACCTTTACATGCTGGACCACATTTGCAACAAGCTCACCAGAGCTCTTAAAGAAAAATATCTTTAGAATTTCATTCAGTAGTTCCTATAACAGACCCTCTTATATTCTGAAATTAAACTAACACAGATTGACTGGCAATCTTGAAATAATATAACAGATGAGCAAGTGTCTTGTGGTATTCCTTCCTGTGTTTAATAAACCTCCACTAAATATCAATCTGTAGGCCATACGTGAGCATCTCTAGACTCTAATTGCAGCTATGGCAGTGTGTTAAGAACTTAATATTCTGCCCTTGTGGGTTGAAAGACTTTCAGGTAGTACACTGCTTTATCTCTTCTGACCATATTAAAAGTCTCTGAAGTTTTTTCTGCTAAAGGAAAGAACTTTTACCTCAAATAGACTATGCTCCCTCACTCTCCCCTTGTCTCCATGAGCTGTGCTACCCCTTCCCCCCAGATAAGTTCGTTCATTTATCTTAGGCATGCTGGTTCACTATCATTTTTCCATTCCAGAAACCAAAAGACAATGTGAAGATAGAGGTGATACTGTAATACTATATTTAACCTTGGTTATACAGCCAGAGATAAAGCTGGCACCTTCTTCTAGATCATATTCATTATCTTTATGAAACAAGTCTTCCCAATATTTCATCTTGTTAAATCATGAACTTCCACCTAGTCAGATACTATACATAGGTTTTTACTTATGCTCATAAGCCAAGTTTGACACAAAGTCATAGGTTTTTGTGTAAGCAATATCCATACGTGGTTCCTTCACATAGATACTTTCCTTGTTTCCCAACGATAACATTTTTGTTGAAGTACAAAAAGAATGATTAATAACCCAGAGAATACTGGAATTAACATGCCTATATCTTGTCAGCATGTCTATATCTACACTGTCAGCAAAAGATGAAAAACACCAGTGTTGGGGGGCGTGAACAATTATATAGTCATTTCATTGCTCTAGAAAACTCTAGAAAAGTATCATATTTATACTTTGAAAAGGTCAGATAGCTGTTCAACTGTGGTTAAAAAAGCAAATTCAATACTAAGAATTACTTACAAATAAGAAATATGGAACAAAACGTGTATCAGTATGCCTCTGTACAGCTGCAGGATGTGTTTACATCCTGAAGATTGCATGAAGTTCTTACTCAAAGTTTCAGAAAGAATTTCATAGAATTGGAAGATTTACATAGAAGGATAACAAGGAAGACCAAAGACTTGAAATTACTAAAAAACAACCGATGAGCAAAAACGAATAGTAGATGACTGATGAGCAAAAATGAATAGTGGATGACAAAGCAGTATCTTTGAGCACAAATCTGAAAAGCATCTAATGAAACAAACATACCATGTTCAAAATAACCAGATTTTCATCCAGATGTTAAACAGTGGAGGTATTTGCTAAAAGGCATTGCAAATACTAAAGGTTGACACAGCTTCTGTTAGCAGCTGCATAATGTCACAGAGGAAAAACTAACTGAGAATTGATTAGTATGAATAAGTTATTTTTTTCTTTACATATTGTCTTTAACCAACAAGTCCTTGGGAAAAACAGAAGTGTCCTAGTATACTGTGTTTCAACTCATGTAGTTATTCTTTGGACAGCAGCTGTAAGCCACTTCTGAAGAGAGGCATCTAGCATGCTTGAAACACTGGATTTGCTTGCATGCTAGCTCAACCTCCAGTTACAGAGCAAGCTCAGCTATGTTTTCTATATGCACTGGCATATTGAGAGAATACTTGCTGTCAAAGGTCTTGCATGCAGGGCTTCAGAATCCTGCTGTCAAAGTGAAGGAACGTGGAACTTCTTCCTAGTGATTGTTCCCCAAACAGTCAGAGAGGGAGAGAAATGAAGCACACATCCGCGTTCCCCTCTCCCTCTCAGGGTTTGAGGGAAGGTCCATGCTAAGCTGTATCCTTTTCTTGAAGGGTGTGTCTTCAGATACAGACACAAAACAACATAGAATAAATCCTAAGTCTCAGTGCTTTTGAAGTGTATGACAATAAAAAGCTATACAGAATTTTCACATAATCTGCATATATGAAAAGATATGTTAGTTTACTTTGTGAATTCCTGACTAGATTAGCTGTTTATTGTGTGCAAAGTTTAGGTGACAATGAAACGCTACTTGTACCTGACATCATTTACTTTTCAACAATGGAAAACCAGAATATCTGGCAGTCCTCTGAGTCAGGCTAGTCAAAGGCAGAGACAATACTGAGAAGTGAGACAGAGGGAAACTTAAGGTATGTACAGGTCCGAATAATAAAGAGGAATTTCATTTCTTTAAGAGATAGAATAGTTAGATGTTGACTTGCACACAGCAGAGGCACTACATAGAACAAAGGACACAGAACAGTTGTTGGATCTGAAGGAGATCAATAGAGAGAAAGAAGTCCTTCTGGCCCCCACAAAAATAAGTGGGAAAAATACATGAGGAATAACAGTACTGCTTTAAAAGCAGCCAGCTTGGTTGCCTTACTGGATACATTTCCCTACCCCACAGCTGCTACCAGGACACTGACCTTTTCTGTAGGAGCTATCCTCCTGGTGTCAGAAGTCATAAGAAGTCACAAGCCTCCACCACCCTTGGGAGTCCCCACTTCCCAGACTCCACCTGCCCCTCAAGCAGCATAGCTGAGAGCTTACAGTCTTGCATTAGTGGCATCTCAGCACTTATATGGGCTCCACCCTACCACCTGCTGCAGGAACTTCTGATCCTCCCTGATCAGCCAGCTGGTATCCAAAGCACAAAGCACCCCTGGTTGAAAAGTAGCTGATGGTGCTCTTCAGAAGTAGTGACAGCCTGTGAGAAACTACCACCTTCTGTAACTGCACTTTCCTGGCAGACACAAGCAACCTTGTCTTCTTCTCAGAGTTCCCAGTGATGCCCTCATGATCCTTTCAGAAATGGAGCTGCCTCACACAGACTCATCTTGGAATCACACGTGCTGTGTAATACCACATAGGCCTGCTTTCAGGCAGCAACTGCTACAGAAAGCTCAATAACTTGTGTGAAGCTAGTTAATGAAGCAAATGTGTGTGACTAATTTTTCTATCCAATTGCTCGGCTCTCTTCAAAATGGGTATTTTATTTTTCATTCATACAGGTTCAGCATCCTTAGTATTGTTGACCAATATTGTCTGATGGATAGATGGATATAAACTATCTTGTACAGGACGTATTCTTCTATGTAATTCTCAGAGGCTGAAATGGGTTTCAATTTTTTATTTTTATTTATATTTTGTGTGTGTGTGTGTGTTTTCTGGGGGGGAGTCAGGGGTTGTTTTTGTTTTCTAAAAGGTGGTTCTCGTCTGAACAGGAATAAGCATTACAGGAATGGCAGAAACAGGGACAATACTGCTAAACGTAGCTTTCTATTTGCCTGTTACTAGAACAAATGACTGCACTTTAACTACAGATACAGATAAAAACTATTGACAGAGATTGGCAGTACTGCTGGGATTCAAGAAGAAAACATCAGTATGGAAAGGTTTAATCTCCTAAAGGAAAAAAAACAAAGAAAACAAAATAGTAAGGCTAGTCGGGTTAGTCAAGGGCTAGTCACCCAGGAATCGCTGGGTCATCAGGTGAAGTGACACTGTCATCAGTGTTGATGGAGCTGGCAGATGATGCTTTGCCACACCTGGGAGCTGCAGAATCTGATCCTCCCCTGCCTGAATTTTGGTCAGAATCTGGGAGCAGAATACAGATGTTTGGCCTGAGAGCTTGCTAAATCTTAAGTATATTTTGTCTGTTATAACTAATAAATTGTTGCATCATACTTTTAAGTTGTGCGTATCTTGCTTTCAGGATACCAGCTAAAAATAGCCAGCTAAAAATGGCTCAACAAACTGCCCCCCCAAAGAGGCTGTAACAATATCTTCTGTTTATTCTTTTCTCTGGCAAGTGGAGAAATAAGGGATAGTTTGCAGACCAGGAGTTATAACAGTCCAAATTAACTATTTTCCTGGGCATGTAAAATACATTTTTGATTAATATATCAGCACATGGAAATCTACCTATTAGTAGGACTCGTGTTTAGAGCAGAAACAACCTCTGACTGTTTAGTCATCAGCAGGATTTGTAGTTTTTACACAAAGAGGATGTTGTGGGTATGCTGATCAACAATCAATGAGAGGAAAGGACAGATGAATTTAACGACTGAACAAGCAGAAGTGAGATCCACTTCCATAGAAATAACTTCTGTAGACAAAGTGATATTCTAATACGTATTCGGTAGGGTTTTGTGGACAGGTGGCTCTATGGGATGAAAGTAACCATTTCCATTTCAACAGTGGATAAAGATCCATGATGCAAATAAATATGTAGAAACCCTGGCTGTCAGAAAACAAACAAACAAACAAACAAACAAGCAAACAAAAAAAAACCTGAACTCCCCTTCCCCCCCTCCCCCCCCCCCCCCCCCCCCCCCCCCCGAGAAAAGATTAATGAAAAGCCATTGAAAAAATAATACATCCCTTTGGGTTTGTTAGGATCATTACCTGTGGCTGAAAATATTGCACAGACAGATGACTGAGTTGTATGAATTAAACAGACAGGTCACCAATCCCACACAGAAGAAATCTGAAATCCACTATTTTTCACTACTACTCAAGATGAAATTGGTCTGTGGTACAACTACACCTTGAAGAGTAAGCACATTATGGAATATTGAAACAATGTAGTCCTAAAGGTTGTTTCTTCTCCATGGGGAAAGAATAGGGGGCTATATACATGTAGCTTTCTTAGCAGCTTCTAAAGCTGTTTAACACAGCTTTGGTACTTGGAAGTCCTATAGGTAAGACCAAAGGTTAGTGTTCCTGGATGCTGGAAGTCTAATGAGACACATCAGCTTAATGAGAGAAGTATCTCCAGTATAAACGTCTATCTGATTTACTTCTTTATTCTTCAACCCAATCTTTTGAGTAGCAAAAGTGATTAAAGGTAGTTTAAAAGCAACTAACTTTGCTGACTATGGGGAGCCTTCTTAAAGCTTTTCTTGCTCAAGGTTTTCAGGTCCATACTATCCCATTCCTTTCTTAACAAACTTACTTTTGAAACCTTCAGTTTGTGTTTCTTTGTGATTTCTGGTGGATCAGAATGGTTGGAGAATAGCTTAGTAACACCCAGTCCCCTGGAGGAATGTCTCTAGGTTGTAGGTGCCAGAGAAGGACGTTCTTGGAAGATGTAGATGCATCCTCTTGTTGAGTCTATCAGGAAGTGAAGGTGAGTCATTATACTGTGGCAACATCCTGGAGAAGTTGCTAGAAGTCAGTGACTAAAGATTCTTGTGCACAAATACAAAGGAATTTACTTAATTTATTTGCTGGTTGGAGTGCAACTGAAAAAAAAAATCTGGGTGAGGGAATAGGTGAGTTACTTTTACAGTGAGGCTGAGCTCAGTGGGCCATGCACAGTTTACACCACCTTTACAAAGGTTCTAAGACTGAGGAGTCTCACTCAGTGCAAACGTGCTTTACAGTAGTGCATGGAAGACAGCAGTGCTTTGAAATGTGCAGTGTCCAGAATGAAACGGGCTGTGGTACAGATCTTCACACCTCTTTGTGTTAAACTTAGAGTTTCCCAAGCAGGAAACCTGTGCAACAGCACAGCCAGCTGAAGAAGAAGATAGAAGGAAAGAGACTCAGTGCTGTAGAGAAGAGTTGTATACAAGGGCTGGGAGTAATTCTGGGTTCCCTGTATGACCAAAGTAAACCCAACCAAGCATCAGTACTGTGAGTAAACTGTCAGAGACACAAATGCAAACATTTTGCCTGTTCAGGCATTCTTTGGTTGAAAATCAACATGGATTGGTTTTGAAACTATTAAAATCTGCTTCAGTTATCACTGTTTTCGTGAGATGCTGGCTTGAAGTCTCTTGTACAAGGAGGTCAGCAAGAGTTCTGTATGCCAGCAGCTGGTCCACTAGAGCAGCCCATATGTGGTGAGAGTGAACCGGCAAAATGTGCCTACAAAGACACCTAGATTTATATCTTAGTTCATTCCTGACCATATGACTGTATTCACATTCAAGCCATTCACACATACTCCAAGCAGCTCTAATACAAGCTACCTAGTTCCCTTCATCAGCAAAAGCCCAGCAAGCCTTGCAACCTCTGGCAGCCCAAGCTACACCCTGCTGAATTCAACGTCCACCCCCAGAACCACTCTATATAAACATTTCCTCAGGCTGTTACACAACTCTCCTGTTATTTTGGACACATAAAGAAAAGAAAAACAAACAAACAAACAAACGAAAATGATGTCTCAAGGCAGCAAAATGTCATCCTTTGCCAAGGAGGACTAGGAGTGAGGGCCTGTAGAGCAAATACAGCCACCCTACTCCAGAAGATCTTCTGGAAGATCCAGAAGAACATTCATATCACATATCTGGTATGAATATGAGCCACATCAGCTGGCTAAAGGGGTCAAGGCTGTCTTCATGTTCTGTCCACAAAGACAGTATACACATTGCCATAGTTTACGAACACTTACCCCAACACCAAACTGGAGATTTGCTGAAAGGATTCAGCCAATGTGGGATTACTGAGGGTGACCCTGGAGCAGGATTCAGTGTTACACTGAAGAACCTACCTGGCCTATTTCTAGTATACACAGTTGTATTCAGATTTTTCCATTAATTTTGATTCTTAGAACAGAACTAAAAGGTCTTCCATGCCCCTGTCCTTAAAGTTTGCAGTCCTTCGGAAGGGAAGGAGGATTCATGGAAGATATACTACACTCAACCTGGTGATGATTCATTTAAAAATCTTCCCTGCTTTTCTTTACCTAAAAATATTTGTCTTATCCATGTTGCCCTGTTTGACAGAGCCTGCATGTTCATTTATGCTGTAGCTGGAGATTAATGAGATCTCTAAATCAGGAGATTGCTAATTGAATGAGTCTTTAATATAATAACTTGCATAACTTGAATTTCAAAAACTGACTATGGCAATTACAGATTATGAATGTGATTGTTAAATGTGATTGTCAAATTATCCAGAAGGAACTTAGATTTATGATTCTTACTGTGTCCAGGTAGAACTGGGATTTGTATGTCAATCAAACATAATACAGCAGGAGTTCAGTTCCTGACTGCCCTTAAAATCATGTCTGCAGGATACTGAATTTCATATTTCATAGTTTTAAAATGCATTCAAAATTTACTTCAGTTTTCTCTTAACAGATACCTATCCAAAAATCACTCTCAAACAGAGAAGCACACTGAGAAACAAAACTCTATTATAAAGAGATGAGTCAAAATGTTGTATTACAATTTTGACATTGAAAAGCTTCAGAGATAATACTTTGTCTCTAAAATCTCAGTAAAGAAGGTATATAATTTCATTTTCTTTCATTCATTAAACCATGTATAGAATTTATGGATTCAAAGAAAAACTGATATTTATAAAAACTGAAATATTTCTTGTTGTCTCTGTCATGTAGAAGGCAAAATTCTTATACTGGAATGGCTGAAAACAGAGTTTCTATATCTATGTTTATCAGCCAAAACAAAAATGTCTTCATCTGTACTTCATGCTTAGACTTGGCAGATGCCTGAAAGAAATGCTAAGGTGCTTGATATCTGTGGGCCAATTCATGTTTTTAACCACGAGCCCTGCTGTAGCTTAAAGTATATAATTCTAAAAATCCAAATTTGAAAACTACAGTTACAATAGTCGAAAGTTCAACTATAGAAAGGTCTTATTGGTGCTATCTATATGTAATTTCACCTTTTATTAGGGTAGTAATGATTGACTTTAAAAAAGATATTTTTTTTTACAACAGCAGCCTAAATTTTTACATCAGGCATGCAAACACTGGATCAATTTCTGCATGCACTAAAATGTCTCATTGGCTTGCTTGCTCCATTTTTCTCTTTAGCACATTTGCTGAAGAAATACTATTTGTCTCTTAGCTCTAATATAAACACAGCTTGCATGTTGCTCTTATCTGATGTATCATGTTTATAGTTCTTTGGGAGACAACCATGTTGAGTTTTGTAATTGATATTAGAGAATACTCTAGTCTCATGTTTTTGTTTCATTAGGGCTGTAATTGGCAAATTTCTGCAAACAGTCACAGTGGCCATTCAATGAGCCATGCCTAACAAAGTAATAAGGTTTAATTAGCCCCATCTAATTTGACAGTTTGCTGCTGGCACACTATCTGTTAGTACAGCTGGTTAGCGATGCATGTATGTGTATGAAATAAAGATCACTCCTTCTAAGTTTTCTTTGATTTTCAGGTATTACAGTGATTAAATATTGCAATTTCAAACTGTTTTTCCATACAGACTTTGTCTCCTTTGACTGTCCAATTTAAAAACAGGTCTCAGTTAATAAGATTAAGATGTGCCTTATTTTGCACTTTGATAAAGGCTGTTTTAAAGCCAAACATTGGTAATGCCTATATCAAATCAATATTCGAGTTGCCTAGGTACGTGAAGAGTTTAGATCATCCAAGTAACCACAATCTGTATGGTCAAGACTATAATAACTCCAACACGTATCATTGTTTCAGATAAAAAAAAAACCCTGAGCACAGCACAGAGCTAGGCTTCTCAAGACAATGTTAGGCCTGCACAGAGATAGTCACAGGTCTAAGTTTACAGTTTCTTCACTTTTAACTCAGAAATTATACTTTTGTTGTTGTTGTTGTTGTTAACATGTCAATGTTTTTCAACAAGAGTAGGAAATTGCCTTACACGAAATTTCCAAACCCATATTTCTAAGCCAAGGTTTACCCATTTTTGGATATGGATAGTTTAACCCACAATTACAATTAGTAATTTGAACAGAGAAAGGATAAGAACTAAACCTATATTCAATAATCCTGGCTAGTGCAGCCTTTCTGTGCTTCCCAGCAAAATTCAAATGAGCTTTGTGAACATCATGCAAAAAAGTGGGCAAATTTCATAGAAACAGGAGTAAGAAGTCAGAGGTGTGAAGTGAGATCCCTGATAGAGTGACTCCATGCAGCATTTGCATGGGGGGAAACTCAGCCAGGGGCCTGGAAAAAGACCCAGCATAGAGCAGAGAGATAGAACTGTCAGAAAAATACTGAAGTAGAAAAGAAAGAGATATGAGTGTTGTGCTTTTCTAACAACACACATGCATCCACTCAGTAATAAAAGCTCAAAATTTGTCCAGGTGTGTTGGCAAATAGTTTCTTCCAGCAACCTTTAAGCCAATGAAAATGGCAAAGACATTAAAACCTGAGGATCTTAATCAGATAATAAGACATGGTATTTCTGGAATTATGTTTCTCTGAACAAATATTTTACTTTTAAACATAGTCAACAAGTGTGTAAGTGTTTTTTTTTTTTTTTTTTTTTTTTTTCCCCACATTTTTATCTCTATGAAATAGAATCTTAGAATCAAAGTCTAGGTTGGAAGAAACATCCAGAGGGCACTTAATATAAACCTCTTCTCAAAACATGTCTAATTAGGTAGGGTTCCTTGAGGACTTGCCTCCAAGGATGGAGATTTCACAACCTTTTTGGGCATCCTCTTCTGGCATTTAACTCATGGATAAAAAAAAAAATAAAAAATGTTCCTAATTAGAATTTTCCATATTCAAATTGATCATTGATTTTCTCTTCAGTTTCTGTCCACTTCAGCATCATGCTTCTCTTTGGCTTTGTCCTGAAACTTCTGGATTGTCATTTATAGCCAGTACATTGCCTTTATTCATCTGGACCTTGCTTAGCAGGAATTGAAGGAAAACCTCCATGGCTCTCTTGCTCCTCTGTCTCTGCCAGGTTTTATGTGAGACCTTTGTGCAGCAAAGTGCAATTGAATGCTTTTGCCCCAGAAGAGCAATGCAGAGGCAGTGGAGAGGCTCAAAAGAGAGAATAAGTTGTTCCTGCCACCTTCCTCTATTGTAAAAGCTAATGACCTCCTGTAAGACCTAATGCAAAGTCAGTACTGTTGGTGGCTACCTTGAGATGAGCCAGGTTTCAACTAAATTGCTGCTTTCTAGGGAGATGTTGAAGTAACTTACAACTTTCAAGCCGTGCTAATCACTGGTGTTATCAGTGACTATGTGGGAGTGCAGCATAATCACATAGAGGACCTGTTGTTTACTGGCTGCCATTTACAAGGTAATGAGGAATGGAACTGACAGTTTGGTAAGAAAGAATCATGAGAATTACCCATCACTTCATAAAGTATCATCAATATTTTGTATGGAGGTTAATTTTATGGTGGTTCAGATGTATGAGTGAGCTCAAAGACCAGCATGCAAACAATAAGAGAAAAAAGGTTTAATTAATGTCTTTGAAGTATTTTCTAAAGAAAGACTGGAACAGCCATTAAATCCACAGAGTGCCAAAAATAATTCCTCATTTTTGCCCACAGAAATGAGATACAAGGCTTAGGTCTCAGTGGTTAGTTCAATGTTGCCAAACTCCATGAATACCGAAGTGTTTAGCAAGGCTGTTTTCCCCTTAAACTTCTCTTGACCTTTCATCATCTTTCTCCACCCAAAGTCCACCTCCATCCAAAGCATACATGTCAAATCCCAAAGTAGTGCTTTGGGAAGAAAACAGAACTGGAATTCTTGGGGAATCATGGGAAGAACCATTTTTGGAATAAATGTCAGTAAAAAGGAAACTAAATAAACATAACATACTGTTAAAAAATAGGAAGATGGGACATATCAGATCCTTTCTATGGCCTCTGAACTAATTTGCATTTTGCTGTGCTGAATTAAATGAAGATTTTTATCTGTGATGTTTTAGTTTATACAGAACAACTACAGAAAGGAATGTTTTTAGAAGAGAAGCTAGTATTAAAACTTTGTGTGTTTACCCAATTGTGTTTTTGTCCTTCTATTTTTCTTCATTTCTTTTTAGTGCAGAAAGTGAATTATTGCTGTAGGCAACCTCCACATGTTATACTACCCAAAAACTGGCCAAAATGTGAGTCATCTGAGATTGGAATAGCTCTGAGTTTCATTTATAATTCATAGGACTTCACTGAATGAGTTGGATGCAAATGAGTCTAAATTAAACACTGTGTCTAACTCCACTGTACCAGATCTACAAAGTCAAAGAGAGGTAACTACCACCTCTTCAAGCCTGGCAGAGAACAGGCCTTGAGCAGATGCTGAGGTGGCAATTGCTGGCAGATAGAACAGCTATAAATATGTCTCAGAAGAGAAACTTCATTTGCTGCAGTGCTCTATAACTGCAGCACAACTTGGTGCAGAAGACACACCCCACACCCTCACCCCACACAGTGCACTCCTCCGCTTAATTCCAAAATAAGGAAGAAGGAGCAAGAAGCAATTATGACACATCAGCTGCCAGTTCCTATGCATGAGCTTGCCTTGGAGAAAGAAGTTCAGGAAGCTTGCCCCAGAGACTCAAGGATATACAAAAGCTAGATTAAAACCTCTTAAAACCAAAACATTAAATATGCCATACAGTATGCAAATAAAAGACAATGCAAACAAAAGTGTCATATAAAAATGACATAGAATTAGAAATCCTAGACAGTTAACAGAAGGGTCAGAATCTTTATTCTGAACATTCCCAAGCTGTAATGCTTTAAAGGCCTTATATATCCAGCATGAGGGTCAAACCCAAGCCAACTTTTGCAATCCAAGCAGTAGAGAAGCAACAGCACCACTGCACTTGCAAGTGAGAGTCTCAGCCAGAGCAAGCCTGTGTCAAGGAGAATCATCTCATGGCACTCTCCTTGTCCCCGTGTAATTGCTGGGCAGGAGCCTGGGTCAGTAGGAATATGACAGGCTGAATATGGCACCTATGTTACCTGGGGATCAAACAGGAGGCAACTGATCTGAACATGTACCGTGTGACTAAATAACATCTAACTGGTTGGGGTGAAAAGTGCAATGTTAAGTCTTTTTCCTGGCAATCATTTCCTTTGATTTCTTTTTCTTTGGCATCATTTTTTTTTTTTTTGTCTTATTTATGCCAAAAGCTCTAACATTTACAAATTAAGTTCCAATCAAACATTAGAATACTTAAAGTCTATGTTGCACACTGGCCTGCCCAGGCAGATGAGCTAATTAGCTCTGGCGTACTGCTGGCTGCTCTTGCTTCCCTACCTCACAGAAACTGCAAGAGGAATCTCATCTTGTGTCTCTGCTCCTCACAGCACCACATGGACATCTTGGACATCATGGTAATCCCCCTCTCCCTTCTACCTGCTCCCTTGTACTGCTGTAAACCTGGCAAAAATCCCAAAAGTAAACAATAGACTTCAGCCTTTTTTCATGTAAGAGCTGTGCTCTTCAAGACATGGCATGCTTCTTCACAGAAACTCAAAGAGCATGTCTATTTACTAACAATTCCAAAAGAGCAGACAGTTTCCTGGTTCATGTTCTGCAGAAAGGTTATTTTCCTTAACACTATTGTCAAAATCACCCCTCTACAAAGGGGAAATAGGAAACTGTTAGGAAACTGTACCCCAAGTAACACAGATAACATGGGCTCTAGCACAATTGTTATGCCCTCTTCTACTCTTTGCTGTCTTGCTTGAACTCCATACAGAATAAGAAGGCAAAAAGAATCCTGGAGGTTGTATATCAGCTTCTGAGAAAAGTCTCTCCCCCTCCCCCCTATTTTTTTTTTTTTATTATTATTTTTTAAATACAAGCATCTAGTGGTTTGCATACAGTTGAAGATACTGTGATAATAGTCTGTGACATATTTTTCACTTAACTCCTAACAAAAAAATTCAGGTCCGCTTAAACTGGTGAAATCTCATAATAAATGTCAAAGCCAGCTATCCAGAAAGAATAAGAGACGTGAGGAATGTAATGGAAAGCCAACAGCCTCAGCTGAAACATGATTTGTTCATGGAGCCATACGTTTCTGATGGACAGTGTAAACCCTCTTTCTGTACAGACTGAATTGATTTGTGACAGAAATTGTTTCTGACCTAAAATGGTTTCCGGTTTATAGTGATCTCAGATTTTTGGACATTGAAGCATGTTGGTGTTCCTGGAAAGGTGAAGTAGGAAGAGCTGAAAGCTCTGTAACCAGCCTCAGAGGACATAATCAGGAAGCAGTTCATGGAAATCAAACTGATCTTCAGGAAAACATCTTGCGAATCTTTGTTTGGCAGAAAGTTGCAGACAGCATTGGACCAGGTAAACTTCAGCATGCACAGGAAAGAAGAAGTTTCAAATTAGATTTTAGGAGTGAAACACAACAGTACTTCAAGTGATTGTCTGTGTGCATCAACATAGAATTATCATAACACTCTACTGTCTTCATATGCAGAGAAAAAATATCGTGAAATAAGTAAGACAAAAAAGACTAAAATGTTGTAATTGAAGAAAAGACATACAACTCTTTGCCAAGGATTTGCAGGAGTCAAATAACCACAGACCTTCCATCCTGCCCTACAGATATTTTTTCTCCTGGCCAGATGACAGAGTATAAGCCAAGATTCTAATGTACAGAAGAATTACTGAGTTAACATTATGAATCTCCATTCAAAGGGGTTGGAAACGTTTCTGTGAAGTGCATCATTTGTTTTGTTCTGGCTTTTGCTGTTTCTTAGCAGCCACTGATTTCCCAGCAGTGAAAAATCACCAGGTTCTTTGAAAGCTGAGAAATTCACATATATTGCCTAGGAATGACTGTTAGTTACAATGACAGTTGCTAGACTCTCCGAATATATAATGCAATATGTGATATCTGACTTAGAGAAATCAGACACCCCCAAGAGATGAGGCTGGGACATGACTGGTACCAACAAATTATTTTTTCACAGGGATGATTTTTTTCCCCAAAAAGAAGATGCTGTGGGTGTGCTGATCAATGATTAACACCAAGAAAGACATGCTAGCATTAAGCAAAGACTCCTACCCCACCATCCCTGAAGTATCATAGGGTCCATTCATGCCAGAACTTCATAAACCTTGCTAATTTTTTACTTTGTTATTGTGTCCTGAGAATGATTTGCAGAAAGAACAGTACCATGCTGTACAGGAATATAATATTCAGGATCAAAACAACACTAACAAGATGTGACTGTTACAACTACAAAGGGGATTAACTTGTAAAGAACCTTAACTGTGGTATGATTCTGCGATATCTCCTGTCTGATGAGGATACACTGACATTGTATGCACCTCAGCTTTGACAGGAATTTCTTTAAGCAGTCTCTGCCTTCTATCATTATCAAAATATGGGTTCCTATTTGTGCTTACATTTACCACAGCATTAATCAGTCTTTCCAGTGGAATATGCAATTTGCTTTTCAGACCCTGACCTTTAAGGCTGTTGGCTATGTTACATGCCTTTAGTTTCTTCCTAGCTGATGCCACACAGCACTGGGAAAAGAGACCTGTGCATTGGCACTAACCACTGGCTGTTTGAAATATGTTATTTTCCTCGATTTACTTCAAGTATGTTATTACCCTCTCTGCCCCCACACTTTTCTTCTAGTTGTTTTTTTCTTCTTTTATGACCTTTAGAACTACTCACAATTTCTGTTGGTTTTCTTCCAAATCCCTTTTAATTTAATGTATTTTGTGGGTAAAGGTTAAATGCATCTCTACCATGGATTAATCCTTTTTTTTTGAGCTCCTTATTTATCTTTTTGTATTTTGCTTCACTTTTGTAGGTAACTCTTTACTAGTTATGACAAAACTGCAAATACACTCTTTATTGCTATTCCCACAGTGCTTTCCTTCCTCTTCTTATTTCAAAGAGCCATTCAGTGTGTGCTGCACCAAGGCTTCTGCTGGACTGGCATTCTTCTATGACTGTTAACCCAAAATAGCCTTTAGAGGAGACTACAAAGTCATACAATCACAATTTTCTCTGAGAGTCCACATACACATCACTGAGGCTAAGGCTCTGGCACACACATGGTTTTGTGTGCTTCCCCATCAGATTTGTATGCAGGCTTCAGAGTAAGCTGGGTTAGAGAATGTCCCTTGCACTTTGTCCCTTAGATGGTCCATCAAACCAGCTCCATCCTCAAGGAATGTCATGGCATTTAAGTGGTATGAAACAGCACTAGCACAGAACAGCAGAAGTTCTTAAGTAGCTCAAATAAAAGTCTTCCCCCTCTTGCACTGAAACTTCTTGATCATGATATTCAGTCAGCAGACAAATCAGCAACAACAAAAAAATCCATAAAAGAAGAAGGAAAGAAATAGTTGACTGAAAGAAGAATCACTTCTCTGAACAAAACATGACTAGTCTGAATTTGTAACAACCTCAAGGCTGACAGTTTTGGGGGCTTTTATTCAATTCTTTATTTAACTCATTATTTAACACTCAAATATGCCATCTTCTGCATATTTCCAGTAAGAGTAATTTCCTCATCTTTGAGGAAACAGGGAACCAAGGAATACACCTGTATACAGCTCCTACTCCTATCTGAAGATGATTTGCTACCTACAGCAATTTCATGATACTTTTTGGATATCCAATTAAATCAGTGATAATTTAGTATTGCAGAGAGTTCTAATGATAGACGGTCTAAAATTCACAGTCTTATTTAATTTTTAGACAAGGTTTCCCAAGTATAAAGAATGATCAAGGTATGCTTTTATTCAGGGCTTGGATCCTGGCTACATTTTATCTGATCTTGAAAGCTGACCTAATACTTCTAGAAAGCCAGGGACTAAACTCAGAGTATAAATAAGACAATCCAGTGCATGTGGACAGAAGGTGTTTTAAATTGCCTTAAGGATTCTAATAAAAGGATAAGTAGCTCATAAATATTAAATAGTTTTGAAGTGGAAAACACACTGCTTGGACATACTGGAGAGCTGTAAGTCTTGAAGACATTATATGAAATTGTCAGAACATTCTGGTCTTTTCTTCAAGGAAGGTACATTATAGCTGGAACAGGTGTAAAAAGATGATATTAGGAACAGGCAGGCAATGAGAAGATGAAAAAGAGCCAGGACTGGTAAAAAGCATAGGCTGAGGGAAGATAAAAATTAAATCTGTATATACAGAGAAGGTAACATCTGCAAAAGAAGAGGTATTTCAGCTGACAAACAAGAGTGGAATAAGAAACGGAAGGGTTTAAATTGTCCAGAAGCAAACTGTAGTTAAAATTAAAGGAAGGTTTATAACAATGAGAATAGCAGGGATGAAAACACAAACACCCTTGCCTCTAGCCCCTATATTTTAATGCAAAATTTAATCACTTAGTGAAAGATATGACATAGTGAATGGCATACAATTGTTTAAGAACTTTTTTTTTTGGTGGGGGGGAATAAGTTATACATATTTCAAGATTGCACTTTTATTGGAGGAGGGGAATTTAACAGTTTTCTGAATTCAATAAAATATACAATTTATGTTATATAAGCATAGTTCTATGCAAATTCTAATTAAGCATCCTACTTATTCTTTATGCTTCCTTTGGGAAAATAATGTAGGGAAAGGTCCCACTCTATTAGAGTTTCACAATATATCTTGTAGTGTCTTTTAATACCTAAATGGCAAAGAAAAACAGCTCATTCTCCCACATGCAGCTTGAGTTTTCCTCAATAACATTTAAGTAGGTTAAGCATCAAGACTGCTTCTCAAATAAAATCTGACTGGAAAAATATCATTTTGATTTATTTTTTTTTTCAATGATAGCAAATAGACACTATTGATCTGGGGTCCACAAGGAACAACAAACATAGTGTCTCTTGATATTTGCCTATGGAGTTATTTGTCATTGCAAAGCTGGACTTCAGCATGTTGTCCTGAATTAGCCCTAAGATTTGCCAAGAACTTTTAAGTGATCTTCTCTAGAATTTCTTTATGCATGTTATACCAAGATTAAGTACTTACATGTATATATGTCTAGTAGTCTGAAGCCAACAGCTTTCACTAAGTATTGAATAGACCAAATACAGCTATCAGAAAGGAAGTTTTAGCATTGTTTACATGATTTTGAAAAGAATTTTGAGTGTGAACATCAAATGTTGCTCGGCTGACATGGAAAAGACTTTTCTATTCCTTATCAGCATACCTACACCTACAAATTACTAACACTGATAGCGTTAATTTAATGTCAGAGAAAATAAAGATCTTCAACCAGGATAACCATGTTTTAGAAATATTATAATTTTTATTTTTGTCACAGACATTTTAAGAGACTAAAGTCTAAAAATTTGTCATTTGTATTTTATTTATTTATTTATTATTATTTATTATCTTTACCAGTTTGAGTTATTCTATAGCAAAAGATATAATCAATCTGTAATTTAAGTGCTTCTATTCGCTTTCTTATTTTAATAGGATGTGTTAAAGATGCTAATTTTAAAAGGTAAAAAATAAAATAATTTAAATATTTACTGCTTTGTGTTTCCTTCATTTCATAATCACACAACTACCTGGCATATCTGGTATGTTAAAATTCTATTGACCAAGAATCACTATAAAGCAACATAATACAATAGCAATAAATTAGGCTGATGCATCTTTGAATGAAAAATGACAAATTTCAAATAACTGTATGTCTTTATTCTATACAGTAATCCACTGTTAATGCTTAGAAAGTGACTTATCAAATATTACCTGCATTTTGCATGTGTGTCTATGATAGCTTTCTGAGCTTAATGGAGGTTAACAGAACCTAGGAAAGCTTTACTCTTCCCAGTGAGAAAATAAAATTTTTCTGTAGTTACAATTTTTCATTCCTCCTCTACCACAATCTGCCATATCTAGCTGGAAAGCATGACAGTGAAGGCAGCATCAGTAGGAGAAATGAGAAATTACAGTAACAATAAATCCATAAAAAGAAAACTAGTGCTATGACACAGACTGCCCCACCATTTATTTTATCTCAGGGCAATACCCCAGTAAAACAAACCAACTTTCTTGTCTGCATGAGGAAGGCTTCCACAAAGGAGACAGGGAAGCAAGCTAAAACAACCACCCTGGCCAACCCTTTGCATCATAGCGTATTCCAATGTCCCAGTAAGTGATCTTGCAACCTCATTCCATTAAAAAAAAAAAAAAAAAAAAAAAAAAAAACAATATTGAGGAAATCTGCATTTAAATCAGTTATCAAAGGTTGGTGGGTTAAGCTGACAGGACTTACACCTCCCATTTCCTTTTCCCCATTTCCCTTCTCCTGACCTTCCACACACACAATCTGAGTGTACAGCAATAGCTACATCATCCAAGGGACTTCAGCCCACCTTACATACCCCACTGCAGCATGTCAGGAAGGGCTTCTTACAAAAAAGGTGGAAAGGGGACTTGTACTTCATCAATACTACAAGCTGTACACAGTGGTAGGCAGGGGAGAAATACCAGTGTCTTTTGGACAAGGTAAAAATAGTTTTTGTCTTTTAAGGGATTAGAAATGTACATAATGATAATAGTTGTAAAACAAGCACTAGTACACAGTGGTGTACAGAAATGTTTTACTGTATCACAGGAATTAGCCAGCAATGTGCAAAAGTGCACGTCCTCTGGCCAATCAGTTACTTTTCAGAGGGTTTACAATTTTCCCTATGAAGAGGACGGTGCGGGTATACTTATCCACAATTGTCAGGAGAAAGGGCCTATTGAATTTGATTCGAGGTGGACGGGGAAAATCGCCAGATCTCCAGGTGATCTCCTTCACTGTGGCTCCCGCTGCTTCAGTGCCATTCTCATGAACACTTAGCACAGCTCTGTGGATCACCTGCAAGGACACAGAGCAAAACAACCTCCAGATGACAAGCTGGAAAGAGGAGAGCAACTCCTCTGGAGACCTGGGCCAGCTCTCCAAGCACGCATGTGGCAGCTGAGACCCACCCTAGGCACCATGGGATGGGGGAAGGGAAGCCCCACCAGGGCCAGGGTGGGGGTTAGGGTTGGGAATGGCAGCAGGAGGGGAGCCAGGCCTCCACCCTCTTTAGTCTTGCCAGAGAACCCTGCCTGGATTGAAACTCAGCAGCACCAGCCTGGGGAAGGCCATCACCAGCCCTGCCCTTCTCACCACAGCACCATCAACTGTAATACCACCCCTGGTAGCCTCTGTTAGCTGTATGTGCAGAGAGCAACCCTTGAGCAGCGGACAGCCAAAGAGCACTCAAGATGACTGATGACAAGAAGTTTGGGTAGTAAAGAAACATGGTAATTTAGCCTAGATTTGTTTTGCGTTTGGCAGCTTCATGTGTTATCAGGAATCTACCCTATCATCTAGTTGAAAAAAATAACTTTTTGGGAGCACAAGAAGGGCAGGAATAATAGCTTTTTACCGTCTCTAAGGGGAGTAAGAGGATATTTTACCAAAGTTAACATGCTACCTTTAGATAATTTTTTTTTTTTTGGTAGCCAAAAGAACATCTAATGATATGTAAGTCTTCTTCCTCATCCTTGAGCCATGTGTGCATAACCCCTTCTGTGCAAGTGTGGCTTCAGTTTTAGCAATGGTATGTCTTCCCTTGCCTCCACACTAGTGGCTGTTGATGACTAAATTTTGCTTCAGAGAAACTGGGATAATCTTTTCATATAATATTAATGACAATACCCAGGAACAGGCAAATCATGTGGTCACTGTGTTTCATGTGCTGACTTACTTTTGAAAGCATCAGTCCAGGCTCCTCAGTAATTCCTGACAGATCAGCATGTTCAGTAAATATATCAGTCATACCCATTTGTTTGACTATCTTTTTCACATCATAGGTACCAGAAATAGAAAATTTTGGTATGTGCAAATGTATTTTTCTGTAAAAAATAACATACATAAAGACAAATTTTCAACTAGGTAATGCTCTTCAATAGCTTCACTTTAGTGACAATTCTCATTTATTTTTCTAAATGTTATAAGTTAAACTAAAAGCAGTATCAGGGTTCAAATAACACTTCTGGACAGTATATCCATGTAATGTAAAGTGTTGGAGCAGTATAAGCCCATATTAACCTCCACTTTCACAGTGGGTTTCAAAGAGTTGCCCAGTGCGATACAGCCCCATCAATTCTGCTACAAACAGAGCCTCACTAGGAAGCAGGTGTTCCTCAAAAGATTATAGCTAGTTATACCTTATACTTAAGGCTGTTTGAACACAGAACAGGGCCTAGGCCACCACAAAAACAGCTTCAGTAATGGTGAATGATTAAAATTTCCTTTTACACACAATACTGCAGATACCACCTGGCTCTCAACACCCCAATGCCCACTTCAGAAATAAAGATAATAATAATAATAATAATAATAATAATAATAATAATAATAATAAAAAAACAAACAATAAAATTCCATTTTAGTTTCACATTGCCCATATGAGATAAGTGCCTATTAACTTTGTCAACTTGGTGCTAAGCAACTTGTTTTTCACTACCCAGAACTGTTTTTCATTTTTCAACTAAGAAAAGGGAAGTCATGCACAGAGAGGGACCAATAAGTGAACAGAGTTCAAGAATATAACCTGCCCTTTAATGTTTTGTCTTGGTGAGACAAACATTACTAATGTATACATGGTTACATTACTGATATAACATGGTCACATCTCACCCTAGCAAAATCTCTTACCTGTCTTGGAGGAACTTTACCCATTTGGACATGGTCCTTTTCAAGAGAGCATCTTCCACCTGTTTCATCTTCCCTTCATCAGGCAAAACAAATAATGCTGCAACATTTCCATTGTAAGGTATCTGAACCAGCCAACAGGACAGCACTTCATCAAAGTAATTTCTGTAGTAACCCTTCCGATACATCATGTCAACTTTTACAGTTGTTTTCTCATCCACAAAAAAATCCTCTTGTTGTGTATATAAAGCACTGAAGGGTTTCTCCCAATGGGCTTATGACAAAAAGAAAAATAATTCAGAGAAATACAAAGAGGAATGGTCACTATGAATAAAACAGGATCTAGTCTCACAGTCTTCCTTTGGTTAGAGCAAACCTATTTATTTATTTATTCATGTTACTGCACCCTTAGGTGTTCCAGTATCACAGCTTTTATTTCCAAGGTGCTTAAAAGCAATTATGGGTAATACTGAAAACATCATCTTTCATTAGAACATGAGTCTATCAAAACGTTAAAGAATTTACCAAGCACAGCAAATATGTTTGTTAAAAAAATCCAGTCTTTTACTCAACCAAGTGAGAACACAGACATTCATGCTGACTACACATGTACAGGATTTTATAGGAATAATTTCCAGATAGTGAACATGGGTTCCTTCAACTAAAAAACAAAACAAAACAAAACAAAAACAAATAAAACAAGCAAAACAAAAACAAAAACAAAAAAACAACAAAAACACCCTTTTACTAGAAACTATAATTTCTTTCTTTTTGATTTTCATTTCCTGTAATAAGCAGTAAGCATCTAAGTTACAACCTTAGCACCCTTTGATATTTCTTACCTTTAAAGAAGACATAGTTAACAAGAACCATTGCAGTGAGAGGATCAAGATTTTCCACTAATTTAAAAATTTTCCCATTTGTCTTTTCCTCAATATAACTGTTGATCTGGTTCTCTGCACTAGAGGAGTTGTTAAAGTCAGTAGAAAAGACTTCAGACTCATAAAAGCTTTTGACATCATCCAAGAACTTCTGTAGTGGTTTTAACATGTCTTCTATAAAAAGGACATTGCCCAGGCTCAGCTGGAGATCACCATCTGAACGGTTCAGCATGTGGAGAAGCTGGCAAAAACCTTCATGTATTTCCTGCTCCTGAGTCTTTTTCAGGTTAAAGGCAAGCCCTTCCAGAATCTGCGTCAGCGTTGCTGACTTGGCACCCAGTGCCAGCATTGCAAAGGAAGCAGAGATGCTTATGGGTGAAAAGAAAATATTTTGATCAGTTGCCTCGGATGCAACCAGCTTGTAAAATGAAAATGCAAAATCAGCATTGCTGGGAGCTATTTTGACAAAAGTTTTGTTTTTATCTGGATAAGCTCCTTCCCCATGAGAACTGTGACCTGGGTAATATGCTCCTTTAGGATCATCCTGCTTATTGCGGTAGTGAGGGTGCTGATGACACTGGGCAGCAGCATACAAACCAGCCAGTAATAAACACAAGGAGAAGGTGGGCTTCATTTTCCTTTTAACCCTTCCTGGAAAAGAGATAGACACCGAATATGGCAGGGAAATTAATTTCTTCATCCTTGTGTGCTCCAGCCATGTAAAATGAGATTCTCAGAACATGCCTGTTCTCAAAAATCTCACTTTTGTTTCACTTTCCTGATGCCAGTGATCCCCAGAAAGAATGTGTGGTAACTATGTGAATTACTGAGCACTCTCTCAAAAGATGCAATGTTGTTCATGATAACAAGTTTAAAAAAAAAATAGTATAAAACTGTTTTTTGGTTTGCTGGTTTGTTAATTTCAAATTGCAAATAACTGGAAGTTTTTGACCTTTTCCCCAGAGAAAATGGTGGAAGCTGGATTTACTCTTGATACTGCAGGATGGCTATTGCAGCACTACTAGTCTTTCTCTTTTAATCAAATAAATAGGTAATTACATATATGTTAAACAAAAATGTAATATAAACACAGATCATACTTTTAGGAGACAAATTACAAAATGCTTATACAATTTTCTCAAGGATAAAATTGAGTCACTGTGGCAGTGAAATCTCGTTATAGATATTTTTTGTTTCCAGAATAATTATTTTATTTTTATTATTATTTGATTACTTAAAGTGTCTTCTTTGTTAGCAGACAGTTCTTGCTGTTTTTTGACATGTTTTGAATTTTTGCATAACAGACACACCGCTCTGTTTACATGTGAAAAGCCCTCCTTCCTGGGCAACAACATAATCCCCCAAACTGATGTGTCCAAGTGATCCAAGAAAAAGTTGAAAGGGTACTTACAGTGCTACAAAGAGGACCTTGATGAGTTCATCTGATCTTGTCTGCTCCTTGCTCCCTTCAGTACCATTAAACAGGATTAAGCGGAGTGCCCCCGTTAATCATTAATTACTTCAAATAAAAATTACCAGTGAGGATGCACAGCAAGCAGTAATGGCATAGATATTATGGACAGTTCATTGAGATTAATTGTCCAAGCCAATATTGCTGGATGGTGGGGTTCTGAGTGACAGGGAACACATCTCCTGCTGTGCCCATGCTTGTGAATTCCTGTGACAAGCCTTCTGCGTGGGTCTGGTGGGATAGCTGTGTCCTTTGTGGCTGGAGAAGAACATGGTGAATTCACGTGAAGGCCACCCATAGTAGCCTGGGTCTGGCTCCTGGGGACAAAGGTCCCAGTGCAGCTCCCCAAGAAGTGCAGCCTGCCTGCCTGCCTGCCTTTCCCAGCCTGGTCTCAGGGGGACAGCAAACAGGACAGGGGTGCTGCCAGACACATAGCTCCTCTTGTCAGGATTTCAAAACAGGAGAAAAAAAAAAAAAAAGATTTATAAAGCCCTTCTGCCTTACCATACTCCCTTTTTGACTCCATATTTACTGGTCTGGGGGCTTCTTTTCAGGGGAGCAGAGTGTATGTAAGTGGTGATGGTCTCTAGGTTTCATTAGCGAATAACAGCAGCTGGCAATGTGGCTTTACCACCCTTGGGAGACATTGCCAGTCAGTGCAGCTGCTGCCCCATTACTGCTAGACATCACCTGTGACTATTGGTGTGGTTGGTTAAATTCTCTCCATCCTTTTAGAAACAACACCAATAAGAACACCACAAACAAACCAAAACAAAACCAAAACAACAACAGGACAGCAAGTGCAAGGACAGAAAAAAAAATGTGGAAGGAATAGGGACTTGGTAGAAAACTCTCTTCTATCAACTTTGTTTTGTGAAAGGCCTGGGACAGCTGGAGCTCTAGCTCCAGGAGAGATTTGGGTGCCTGGTCAGCTGCACAGCAAATCGATTCTAATTTATTTGGAGCAACAATGGATAAGCTAAAAATTCCATCCTGGGAACACAGACATGTTTAAGAGATCAGTTAAGTATGTGCCAGATAAAAACGTATAGACTATGCATACCTGATTGCATTGACACCTCCCAAAATATACTCAAGTTCCTTATGTTTTAATGAGTGACAGGGCTGCGGTGGGAATACCTACTTGGTACCTCCTGGTAAATGCAATTGCCTTCTTGGGGAAGGCAATGAGGAGGAAAGGTACCTTCTGATGCTGTCTAAGAACACAAAGCAGGGAAAGAATGTTTATGTTGCTTTCAATAGAAAAACAAAACAAAACAAAACAAAAACAAACAAATAAAAACTAATTTATTGTGGTTTATACCCATTGTAAGATCAAGGAATAGTAATTCAGTAATATCGTGTTGCCTAGCAAGTATCTAAGCCATTCACAGAGAAGACTTCATTTTCTAGGTTTTGCTATGCCAAAAAAATACAAATATATAAAAGATAATGCACATAATTCCTTCCTTACCACAAAAGACAGGCAAGACTTTTCTTTTCTATAGTCAAACAGCAAAAGAGGGCAGGGAACTACATTTTCTTATTGACATCGGCAACACTAATCTTATGTTTGCTGACCAAGTGACTGGAGCACTTGATCATTTGATCTGGATACGAGACCCTCAAATCTTACGAACACTTCAACCTGAGAAAATCAGACCCAAACAACCCATTCTGCAGGGGAATAGCTAATCTTCAGGCTGCAAGAGATTGACAAGAAAGTGAAGGGAAAACAGTTCCCAATCTTCCCTCTGAGGATGTTCTTCCTAAAAATAAAATTAAAGTTAAAAAATACTTAAATGAGTTGTGCAGATAATTGTTTGGATTTTTCTGCTTATGAAACACACACAATATGTATGTGTAGAAATACAAATAGATCTATAGGTATTCATGTGGCTGGGGAAAGATCAACTAGTATGACATGTTAACCTAATAACGCAGGCACAAGCCTGGGACACAAAAAACCTTAGATTTCTATCCAAGAACTACCCAAGCATGTTGTTGAATGCACATAAGAAATAATGCCCCTAGGAATTGTTTTTGAATGTGATACCTGATCACACAAGATGTGTGTTACTAATTCTAACCGTATGAGTATTGTATAAGGAGTTCTGCTAAAGATAATCATTATTGCTGCTAAATCAGAACCTGTGGCAAAAATTAATGCATTGTGACTCGAATTGGACAAAAACTGAAGAAATGTTGTCTCTAATTGAGAAGTTTTATTAACAGAACTATAAATACAAAAGACCTTTTCTTCAAGCGCTTGAAAAATTACACATTTTGTGGATTTTATATGATGAAATTCCCATTCTTTAAACCAATTTTTGCTAATAGTAAAAATATTTTTCCTACCATTTTATGAAGTGATGTAAAAATATTTTAAGCTTAATCATTAGGATTTTGTTGAAAGACTTGAAAATCACATCAAGTGTAAATGAAAGGAATAAAAACCAGAATATATTAAAAATGAGGCAAGGAGATAAGCTGATTAGGCTGTAAATACCCAGGCTGAGAGACCTTCACTCTTTCAGAGAAGTCATCATCATCAGAATGGAATAAGCCATTAGATATGTCTATTTTATATTTTAGTTAAATGTAGACTCCTTTCAGCAAGCTGTGGTAAGGTAGAAGAACTTGTCTTTACCTGATCTCATAGTTTTATGTTAGTTTAGTATCCATCTCCTCATTTTAGGCAAACCATCCCTTTGTCATCAACTTCAGTAGCGTCCAGCCAATAAACTAGCCCAAAGAAATTAATGAGATTAAAATTCTGAGTTTATCCCTCTGTTCTGTTCTAATGAAGATTAATAGCACAATGTCAGTGCATGGTACTGATTCACATCACATTAAATTTTCATAGTACAAATGTTCATGTACGTTTTTCTCCCCACAAACTGCACTCCTAGGTGGGGGATCCTTGCCATGTGCTCATTGCTGGCTGCTGCGAGCAAAATTTACAGCAGCTGTGACCTGCCTGCCATCCCCACAGCAGGTACAAACTTGGATTTCACTGATTTTCACATGGTAGTATAAGGTTTTTTCAATTTCCTAGTTCTCTGGTAAGCCTAACTGCTATTTGGCAATGAACTGCAGTGTTATGGAGGTTAGCTAAGAGAAGGCAAGTGGCTACAGACATGAAAATCTGAGGCTGTTTCCTTTGGAAACCAAGCTGTTTGTTTTGTTTTCTTTGCATTTGAGGTTAAGAGTCACACTTTCTCAGCTTACACAGTTCATGTGACTCAGTTTCTCATTATCTGTCATGAATATTTTCATCATCCTTACATTTACTTATTAAAAAAAATATATATTTTATATATATTACATTTCAATAATATGTCACTCCATTTTTATCCCTAGCTTTACTTATATGTGTTCCCCAAGAAGCTTATATTTTAATTCAGTTTCTGTGGCATTAGTTGATAGATACTTTGGAAGCAGGGAATTCCTAAATGCCTAACACTAACACTAATTCCTAAATGCCTAACACTGCTGAATCTCAGATGTACTCTAGCTACCTGATAAAACTTATTGAAGAACTGTAATAAAATTGGTTTGAGTGAATATGCAGTTAGCAAATGCAAAAATTCTTGGTAAAAACATGGTACATAAAATACAGTTGCTTAGATGAATAGTGACTGAAAAGCATCGTTACGAAGAATCCACCTTGGAAAAGCAAGCAGACTATAACTCCATATATAACCAATCTGGAGCAAATCAGCCAAGAAACCCTTCAAATTTAAATTATTTCTAAGAGACTTTCAGCTTTAAACTGGACTACTGCGGAAGCACTTTGGAAAAGTTTTTCCAAGTTTGGAACGGTGAATTACAGAACTGGAAAATGATGAAATGATGCATCTTTGAACTGTTGTTCATTGTATGCTTTGGACTGAAAGTTATTTGCTTACCAAAGAAATGCAGATGACCTAAGTTTCCACTGATTTACGCTCAGTATAAAAACTAGAGTCACGGATATGTAGCACTGAACATTCACTTTCTCCAGACAAATATATTTTTAAGCTAGAAGGCACCTGCTTACAAGTTAGATTTATCTAGTGCCAGTGCTATGTAATGGGAGAAGGACAACATGCTGGTTACTTCAGCCTCTAGTAGAGAGCTTGTACAATGCACCTGGGTAAATATGGGTCTTTTCTGACCTTTTCCTATTCCATTTGATTGTATCCTCTCTCAACAAGAAAAGTTTGAGGTTTGCAGCACAAAAGATGGTTGAGAGCTTAAGAACTTCCATTCAGTCTCATTGTCCTGGGTCTGAGCACTCTCCCCCAAAAGTGTTGTGCAGTGGAGCACTGGGAGAGGTGCATGTGGAACATGTACAGGACTGATAGACCTTTGGGACTGCAGGATCATCCTGCAATGTCCACTCTACATACTCCACTATCTGTATGCAGAACCATCTGCTTTTTTTGGCTTTGAAGCTGTCTCCTCCATGAGAAGCTAGGGGCATAAGAACGCCCCTAGCTTCTGCATTAGGTGTATGGTAAATTTTCAGTCTTCATCCACATAATCTGCTCCACTTTTATATTCCCCCCAAGATATTTTTTTCCCTAGCTAAAGATCTCTCATCTCAAACAGGAGCTATTTCAGAACTTTGATTACCCTTAGTACCCTTTTCTAAAGATGTTTCAATTCTCATATATTCTTTTTGTTATTACAGGAGCAGAACTACCTGCTCTAATTGATGTGTAGATGATCCAGATAATTAAACAGTGGCACAATATTCCTATCTGATTTGCTCTTTTTTTTTTTTTCCTCTAATAATTTCTAATATTTAATTTGCCTCCTACCTCATTACAGAACTGAACCGTACATAAACTACTTACCATAACACTGAGGATGTATTCCTGAGTAGCTAGTCAGTTCAAGTATTTACCAATCCTGCATGTAAAACTTAAAAAGAAAATCAAAAATCCCTACTGACACAGCAATAGTAAGCCAGAAATATAGTGCTTTTTCAGGCTTCAAGACATGACAAAATTTGTCATGTCCATTCCTTGATTTTACCAGAAGATGGTGGCACAGGGCTCCATTTCCCATAATCTCCAGAACATGAGGCTCTGTATCTGTGGATGTACCCGCAGAAAACAGGCTTGCAAATTCATAATACAAGCTTGGATTCTTGCAGAGATCTTACCAGTCATAACTGGTTTACTGAAATGAAAACTTTTTACCAGCAGAATTTGCCCCACACAC